GGGGCGGGCCAGCCAACGGCTAGCCAGCTAGCCAGAGTAGTCAGCTAGCTAGCTAGCTAGCCAGGAGCCCCCCTGTCATCAGCTAGCCAGCTAGCTAGCTAGCTAGCTAGCTACCTAGCAGCTAGCCAGCCACCAGCTAGCCAGATAGCTAGCTAGCCAGAGTAGCCAGCTAGCCGGCTACTAGCTAGCCAGCTAGCTAGCTAGCCAGCCAACTAGCGAGCCAGAGTAGCCAGCTAGCTAGCTAGGACTTCCCAGCTAGCCGGCAGCTAGTTGGCCATGGCTAGCTGGGTGGTGTTTTGGTGGGGTTGCTGCTCAGGCTGCAGCAACACAAGCTAGCCACTCCATACAAGCTGATGAGGAGGAGGGGGAGGAAGCAGTTGCTGCTGCTGCTGCAGCAGAGCTGCAGCAGCACAGCGCCCTGCACTCCAAGAAAACCCTAGCAGCAAAAAGAAAGCTCAAGAAGCAAAAGGTCCGCCGCGCCGGCCTAGGGCTTAGGGTTTAGGGTTTGGGGTTTAGGGTTTGGGGTCAAGGGCTTGCAGTTCGTTGCGGCTGCAGCAGCTCTGCACCGTGGCGCTGCGGCTGGCTCTGCAGGGGTTTAGGGTTTAGGGTTTAGGGTTTGTGGCTGCTGCTGCTGCAGCAACGCATCCAGAAGCGCCTAGTCCGCAAGCAGCAAAGAATTGAAGAGCAGCAAAGCCAGTTGGGTTCTGCTGCTTCTGCTGCCATTCTGGACCTCATTTACGACCCCCACTCGCTCGCGGAGAAGCTCTTCAGTAGGGTTTAGGGTTTAGGGTTTAGGGTTTAGGGTTTAGGGTCTAGGGTTTGGGGCTGAGGTTGAAAGTCCCAGGGTTCCGCGCCTAGAGTTCACCGCAGCGTCCTAACGACGGCCTCCGAACGGTCAAAGACTTAAGCCTCAGGCTCCAGGTTTTAGGGTTTAGGGTTTAGGGTTTAGGGTTTAGGGTTTGGTGCGGGTGCAGGCCGCGTGCGTCAGCAGCGGGAGAGCTTCAGCACGCGTTTGGTGTTTGTGAATTTGCTGGCGCGGCTGGTGGGGCACCACCGTTTGCTGCTGTCTCCTTTTTATAACTACTTGTCTCTTTATTTGTCTCCAACTCAGAGACTGTCTCCGCAGCTGCTGGCAGCAGCAGCAACTGCTGCTCATGCTGCAGTTCCTGCTGCAGAGCTGCTGCCGCTGCTCAAGACCATCGCCGACAACTTCGTCTCCGAAACCCGCGGCGAAGAGGCCATCACTCTCGGCCTCAACGCCGTAAACCCTAAACCCTAAACCCTAAACCCTAAACCCTAAACCCTCAGCGCCGCCCGGGGGCCCCAGGCCGCCTCCCCGCGCTCCCCACACGCGCCGCACAGCAAGCCCGCACATTAGGGTTTAGGGTTTGGGGTTTGGGGTTTGGGGTCTAGGGTTTAGGGTTTAGGGTTTAG